TTTTTTTTTTTTTTTTTTTTTTTTTTTTTTTTTTTTTTTTTTTTTTCCCAGTGTAGTCTGTAGTAAGTACATCTTAACAGTATAATAAAATGTTTGAATTCAAACTCAGGTGCCTTCTGGGCCTGGAGATGGAGCTCGGTTGGTAGACCGTTTGCTTAGCATGCAGTCAACCCTGAGTTTGCTCCCTATCTTTGTGGGGTAGAAGCAGGAGAATCAGAAGTTCAAGGTGGTTCTTGGCTATTTAGGGACTCAAGGCCAGCCTAGGCTCCATGAGACCCTGCCTCAACAACAACAGGATGGCTGGTGAGATGACTCAGGACAAATTCTTATGCTCCCAAGCCTGAGTTCAGTCCCTGGAACCCATAAAGTGGAAGGACAGAACTGATTCCTACAAGTTGTCATCTGACCTCCATGTGTGTGTGCCGTAGCATGTGTCTAATACCTCCTCTACATGTAATAGTAATGGTGCCCTTAAATTAAAAAACAAACAAAGACAGGTGGCTTCTGCCCTTGAGGTCAGTGACACTTTAATAGTTGCCATAGCTCCTCACTTTGAACACCTCGGGTAGAGGGAGCTGGTGAGCGGGGGTTGTGTGCAGAGGGCGCTAGCTGGAGTCCAGGGCAGTGACTGGGAGGGGTTCAGCTTTGCTGCCAACTTAAACCTGCAGTTTTAGTTCAGAACCTTTGTCTTTCTTTAATCCAGCTCCTTGTAGGCTGTGACAGTAAAAACTTTATGATAGAAAAGTACTAACTGTATGAGTGACTACCCCCTCCTGTTTCCTCCAGTGTTTTTTTTTTTTTTTTTTTGTTTCCTCCAGTGTTAATCTTGAATCTCAGTCTGCATTTTTGCTAGAGCTCTGATATGGACCTTCTACCTACAAACACATGCTAGCTAGTCTTATGGCAACTTGACACACAAGCAAGAGTTATCTGAAAGGAGGGAACCTCAATTGAGAAAGCACCTCCATAAGATTGCCCTGCAGGCAAGCCTGTAGGGTGTTTTCTTAAATAGCTCAGCCCATTGTGGGTGGGACCATCTCTGGGCTGGAGACCTGAGTTTTATAAGAAAAGTAGGCTGAACAAGACATGGGAAGCAAGCCAATAAACAGCACCCCTCCATGGCCTCTGCACTAGCTCCTGCCTCCAGGTTCCTGCCCTGTTTGAGTTCCTGTCCTGACTTCCTTTGATGATGAATAGTGATATGGAAGTGTAGCCAAATAAACCCCTTCTTCCCCAACTTGCTATGGTATTTTGTCACAGTAATTGAAAGCCTAAGACAATATAGAAGCTCAGCGTACTTGGTCCTCTTTCCTGTGTACACAAGCTCAAGAATCCTTTGTACATAGCTTATTTTTTCATGACTGGACACAGAGAGAAGTTCCAGAATAGCGAGTGTGTGATGAAGGTACCGGGAATCCATTTTTTGTAAATAGTTCCAGAAAAGTTGACTCCTTCTATAGTGAGCATTCTGTTACGGCATTCTTTAGGAGTTAATGTGTGACTTAAGTCCTCTACAAGAAAATATCATCAGACCAGGCAGGTCATATTGAAATCTTTTCACCAGTCAGGCTATTTTCAGAAAGAAAACTAGGTATGTATGTTAATAATTTTGACCAAAGAATAGAACATGAAATCATTATAAGATTATTTTATTTCAGATTTTATTAGCATATATTAATTTCACATAATAATAGTTTTCATTATGGTAGTACCATATATTATTTTTCATCTGTGCATATTTTTTTGAGATAAGGTCTTTTATAGCCCAGGCTGGTCTTTACCATGTAGCTGAGGCTGGCCTTCAACTACTGGGATTATAGGCAGGCCCAGCTGAAATTTTCTTAAAGATGTACATAACTGATAAATACTAAAAAGCCATACGTATTAATTATTTAATTGGAAGAAGTTAGACTGTAAAGATTTATTCTGAGCTCAAGAAGTTGTGGGGCTAGTCATAGATTCTTGTTAGAACACGAATCTGACAAATGGTTTAAAGACTGTATCTAAAACACACAAGTGTATTTTTAATTTACCCTTCTGATAGCTTGGAATGTGTTTACAAGTAATGTTGGTTTTCTTTAACAGATTGCTTGGAATGGAAAAATGGTGTTTTTCATCTTCCATAAGGCCTGAGAGAGTGTATTGGAATATAATTATCAAGACACTTATGCAGGGCTTCACCTAGTGCTGAGGCTTTGGATTATGCTGAAGAGACATATATGCTTTTCTCTCTCTGTTTTCCCAGTTGAGAGGGAGGAGGAGTACAGAGCCGAACTTTCTCCTTGATGGCTCCCCTTTGCAAACAGCTGAATGCAGTTAGAGGCAGTCTCTAGCCAGGCACAGAGCCTGGCTAAACTGCCCACATGCTGATGTAGAACAAGTCCATGGCAGAGTGGTCTTGACATTTTGCTGGTGTTGAAGTCCTGCCCTATCTGCTCCTGCTTTAAAAGGAGAAAATTGCCGAAGCCCCATTGTTCTTTGGCAGCTAGAGGTCTAATTTGGTGAATACTGACTCTTTGTTCTCAGAGACACCATCAAATGCCCAGACTTTCCTTCCTGCTGAATGGAACGCAGGGGAGAGCCTGACTGTGGTGTTCTCCAGCCCTCTGGAGTAGGAGAACTTTAATGTTCACTTTCTGTAAGCCTTCCCATGAGGCTCAGAAGCAGCTCTTTGTTCCTCTGACGCCACCGGGAGTGAGAGAGACAGTGAGGCCTGGGCTTGTTCTGAGCAGGGTCGGAGATTCACTTGGTATTGGCGAGATGGGGTAATGTGTATCCAAAGGTTTTTGTACAGAGAGCAAATGCTGCATGCTCTTTAGATGAGCGTCATGGGATTGATGAGCGGTCCTTCATCCATCTGTAGTAGACAAAACACTCTAAGTTTGAGGAAGGCAACGCGGGCATAGTTGGAGAAGCCGATTGCCTATTATTTAGCGCTGCCACTTCATGTCTAAGTGTAGCCTTCTTTTTGCTTTGTGGTTCTGGGGCTCCTGTATTCAGTCTTACAAATGGCCCGGGCTTATATGTGGTTCATGTTCTAACAGCTATTGAGCTTTTTATTGTAGGGCTGCTTTTCATGTATTTAGTCCTCACAGCAACCCTACAAGTAGATCTGTTATTATCCCTGTTTACAGATGAGGGGGCCAAAGCACAAAACAATTATGTACTCGCCTAAGTCTCCGCCTTCATAAATTGTGTGTTTAGATTTTGTCTGATCCGCACTTGCAGATATTCAGCATTAATGACTCATACACAGCTAGCGCTAGAAAAATAACAGACGCAATGAAAACTACAAAGTAACTTCTTGAGTAGGTAGGCTTTTTGAATGTCAACATCATCATTCTTATATAGATTCAAGTCAGTTGGTCCGATCTAAAATTAAAGCTATTTAAGCATAAAAGTTGTTTTATTATTCCAAAAGATAATGTTACAATGCTAGCCACATGTAGAAACCAGGAAATAATCCTCTTAACCTATACATTTATAGATGTGTCCTTTCTATATCTGACATTGGCTTCTCCACATCTCAAATGCACTAAGCCTGGCTTTTTAAAAGCTGCTAATTACAGCATTGGAACATGTAACGATTACGTCTCTTCCAGGCTATGGCACTAGTCACAGTTAAAAAG